ATCCGTCAATGACGACAGATCTTTCGGATTCGCCTCCAGTCCATTGTACGAGACCTTATTGTTTAAGGTACTCCACCTTAGGCATCCCCCAGAAACTTTTAACCACACTGATCGACAGATTCCACTTATCACATGCTTCGAGTAACCCCTCGACTCGGTCACATAGTTGATCCCAGTTATCGGCGGGGATCAGGATGTCATCGATGTATGATCCAGCACCGAAGGTTTGCCTGGATCGACCTGTTCCCCGTCCTCAAATACATCCGAAGTACTTCCGTGATCTTCAGACTTCGGGACCCGGGTGAATCCATATAGCGCGTTATCAATCATACGTTGATAGATCTGGAGCAAATTTTTCAAGCCAAAAGTCATTCGATTCCACTCAAATAAGGATTCCACTCAAATAACGCAAAAGGAGTGATAAAAGCTTAGATCAGGCGAGCTCGATCCGTCATTTTCACCACCCAAAATCCACTTGCCATGTCCAAAGAACAATACCAAAGTGTCGACTCCAGATCTTCGAGTAGATCGTTGATCAAGGGCATTGGGTATACCATCAGTTGCGTCAGGCTATTAACCAACAGATAATCAATGCATAGCCTGATATTCACCCCATTCTTCTTGATGATCACCACAATTGGGGAAGCCCATGGTGATCTGGAGTAGTTGATCATCTTGGCAGCCAATAGTACCTTGATCAGGTCTGCGAGCTTCTCTCTGAACTGGATCCGCATTTACGGCACTTGGGGCGATGCGTCTCGCTCCCCCGACATCGATATCGCACACAACGCCTCTAGCTGCCGGCGGAAGGGCATTTCCCTTACCGATCAAGAGATGTCGGAACTTCCTTTCCAGATCTTTTGACGAAGTCGCTCAATTTCTTCTGGAGTCTGATTATCAGATCCCCATAGTTGAATATCTCCGATCCTCACATCTTCCGTCGTCACAGGTACTTCCGGCAATACCGCCATCTGACCATCGACGTCTTCGGCGTATAGATCACTTCCTTCACGGTAATACACACATTCATCATAATATTGATCTGAGTCCCAGGTAAGATCCAGATCCGATATGCCTGGTTGATCTTCAACAACAGGTAATGGATCCACGTCCGTTTTTTGCGGCTTAGATGTCGTTCAACGGATCACCAGCCACATGGCCCGTCCCAGGCTGTACACTCATCATTGATAGCAGGTCCGATCCGCCATATTTCGACGGCGATGTTCCTTGATCTTGGCCTCTTTATTGTAGTTGATCCAGACTGACTTCCTCGACTTCATCTCGGTCATCTTCTTCTCGCATTTCTCCCAGGTCTGTAGTTATCTCCACCAGCGGATTGGTCGCCCATACGTCCAGCGTCATTTGATCGAGATCTTCTAACGCCTCCTTGACCGTTACGACTTGCGACATTAAGTCTTCGTCTGCGATAGATGACAGATCCGACTCCTCACTCGCGACAGACGCTAGATCCAACGGTCGTATCTCCGACGGCGATCTCTCCGACGGCGACTTGTCCGACGGCGACTCGTCCGAGGGTGGGCAGTTAGGAAAGTCTTGATCCTGACTCGCTTCGACCTTCCGACACTGGATCAACGTTGCTCTCAGTCTTTGGAGTATTGCGCGCGGAGTTCCATACTCGGGCCGCTCCACCGCGGGCTCCAGCGGGATCTTGACCTCCATCTCTTCGGATCGGGTGTCTGTCGTAGCTTCCAACGCTAGATTCTGCCACTCCATGTAACGACGAGAGCCGATTGAGATGAAGCCCGGTATCCGCGGCACATGATCCCCAGCCAGCCAGATTCCGATCCGTTGGTCTTGATGCATAATCAACACCTCGTCCCCGACATTGGTGATCGAGATGTATTTCGTCCGCCCTGGTCCACTAGATATTGTTTGTACCCATTGATCCCCACGCGTGACCCACAGCTTGTCGTGGATCAACGACCGCAGACGCAATGGTAGTTCCACCGACTCTCCTGCTTGGATCCGAAGATATTGGCCGACGTTGACGATCTTTGTCTTGTCGTTATAGAGCTGTCGCCTTCCGCTAAGCTGGATCCGGACTTCGTTCGGCAGACTGATCAATCCATGGGCTAGATCCAGGCGAATCCCAGCTGGAACCATGAAATCCATGCCGAGTATAGCTTGTTGGCCAGTCAGATCACCCACCCAGATATCGAAGAAATACACAAGTGATCCAGCGAGAGTCACCTTGATCCCGAGTTCTTCCTTTCGTCTGGTGCACATTATCTCCAATTCCCACGCAGTCTTGGATCTGGCTCGAGTCGA